GCTTCTCTTTCCTCTTCATAATTCCTTCTTTTTGTTCCCATGAAGTGCATTTAATTTATCATATGTTTTTTCCTCTTTCTCTCCAATCATCCCTCCCCGCTGTCCCTCCTATTCTTCTCAGATTCACTATCTCCCCTTTTATTTTTACTTCCTCTCTTAACCAGTCCTCTACCTCACTCTTCTTTCCACATGTTAATCCACCCTCTAAGTCTGTCACTATTATATTGTTTGACCTACTTTCTCTATCCATTTTTTCTTTCATATACTCTACTTCTTCCTTATTGCCTACTTCTGGCCTCTTTGCTTCTCGTTTCCTCCTTCTATACTTCCTTTTAATTTCACGCACGCTTCTTCCAACTGGTTCATCCTCTCTTCCCATTTTTCCTGCAGTTTCTTTTCTCTAAGTTCTGCTTTTTCCCTTTCTTCTTTCGTCTCCCTCCTTCTTTCTTCTCTTTCTCTCTTGTCCTCTCTTAACCTTTCCTATTTATTTCTCCCATCTTTCTTCTCTTCTTTTCCCCTCTGTCTCCATTCTTTCCATTTTTTCCATCATTTCTTTAAACATTTCTGTCCATTATCTCTTTTCTTCCTCCCATACCTCTTTTAAATCCCTTATATCTGCCCTTATCTTTTCCATTATATCTTCTGCTCCACTACTTTTTTCCACTTCTCTTATCGTGTTGTCCAATCCTTCTCCCCTCTCCCCTTCCATCTCGCTCTCCACACTTTCACTCTTGCATCTTTTTGCCTCCCTCATTTCTGCTCTAATATTCTCCCTCAGTCCTTCTCCACTCTCTCTCCCCCTCACCACCTTTACTCTTTTCTTCTTTTCCTCCTCTTTCCATCACTATCCCGTACGCTTTAATTCGTCTCTCTACTTCTACTCGTGATCTCACCTTTATTCCCTGTCTTACCTTTTCTGTCTCCGCCATTACTTCTTACCGCCCCTTCTCTCTACTTGCCTTTCCCGCTTCTTAATTCTCTCTCTTAACCTCAACTTTTCTTCTTTCTTTATTCCTCTCTCTCTGCTCTTTCCTGCTCTTCTCCAAACCCCTCTATCTACACTCCACTTCTCTTCCGCCTCCAAGCTCTTTTCACCTGTATTTCTCTACTCAAACACTTTTGCTCTCAAACTTTCTTACCAAAACATGCACTCACAGTCAAGATGTGTCTACTCCCTTCCACGAGTCGAAACCCCTCTCCGTCAATGAATGATGTAAATGTAGTGACTAATATGCTGTAGTAGATGCAGGTATGCTTTGTGTTTGTTAACTATTTTTTTAAGTCGAACGAAAATTGATTTTTTAAGAATTACAACTCATAACACTTCTATTTAATTTCTTCTTGTTCACTGATTTTTAATATCCAGCTCGAAGGACCATGTTTAATGTTGAGCGGAAATATAATTTTTGAAATATTATTTTTATTTATTCCGCAAGGCGTACGTTAATATTAATGACGAACGAACGAGGTAGAGTATAAGATAGAGTAAAGTTAACACAATTTAATATAAAACTCTATTTAATAAAAGGAAAGTAAACAGTGAAAATGCATAAGAGAGCAGAGCAGACATGCTACGGCTGTTGCTCTCTGAAAGCTTGATTAGAATCTAGTTATTGTCTGTCGCAGCAGACTCGATGATAGTTCAGAGGGTAATTCTAGTTTTTTAATTTTCAGAATATTCATTTGTTAATGGCTAAATAGTGAAGTAGGAAGGAGGTGGGTTGTTACAATTGAGGATGTATTTGTTGGAAAGGGAAACGGTCAGTTTGGCACAGAAACTATCAGTTGAGGTACTGTGGAGACCTTTTCTTTTATAGTAGGTATCATAAACATCCGGAGTGACGAGGGTTCATTTGTCATAAACAGCTGTGTGACATGTGTTTTACACTTGAGAGGGATTAGAGTACTCTACTTCTCGGCCAAACATAAACTATAGATAGTTACAAAAAATATTACTAAATTTTGAGTCGAACGTGACTAAACATACTTTCAGAAGAGAACAGTTTCTTTTTTTTGTTGTTTGTGTGAGAGTCGCATAGAGGACGAAGCAAATAGTATATCGAACACTCATATACAGGGTGTCCAAAAAGTAACGAATCAAGGAAATAACTTTCCAGGTAGCAAAGCTTTTGCGAAGCTCAAGGTTGTTTTAGGACTAACTTTCGACGAGGAATTCGATGGTGACCTTGGCTTTGACCTTCAACCTCAATGTCAAGGTCATTTGGAGGTCAACTTTTTTTTTTAAATGGAAACCCCTATTTTCGACACTGCTAATCGAAAGAGCGGAAAATTTTACGTTCAAACATGCACTCAGGTCATTAGTGGAGTATGACCTTGAGCTTAACCTCAAGGTCATTTAGCCTCATCAAGGTATGGGTTTTTGCGACGAAGCTTAAGGTCGTTCTAGGACTAACTTTCGACGAGGAATTCGATGGTGTCCTTGGCTTTGACCTTCAACCTCATTGGCAAGGTCATTTGGAGGTCAACTTTTTTTAAAAATGGAAACCCCTACTTTTAACACCAATTTTATTATTACATTTAGCGTCACCTAAGAACAACGGCGTGGACGTAGTAATATCTGTTCCCTTTGGGGTGCTTGTTTTACGAAAGTTCTAAGTTGTTAAATGTTCAAATTATTTACCGTATAATTCCTGTTCTCACTAACATAAATTCTGTTATCTTAAATTTTAAAATAATTCATTCTGCTATCCTGCAATTTAAAAATAAAGAAGGAAATCTAATATTTTATCTAAAAAATTTTTTTTCTTTTTTTAATTTGACGATTTTTTTGCAAAAAAATTTCATTTTTTCAAAAAAAGTGTACCATATTGAAAAAAAAGAAATCACTTGATATTTTTGTTTGGCATAAAAATTACGAACTGTATCGGGCCAGCTAATTGGCAACTCGAACTGTAAGGCGTTTTACTCATAAATCGATTAAAATTCAATGTTCAAAAATCCAAAATAATTTTTCCAAAAACACGTATTTTTAATCTCCTAAAACAGGATATTCTTTTAATGTTGTTTTAATTTTATTGTCAAAAGAAAAAAAACATTTAAATTAAAGCTAAAAACTAATTGAATATTATTTAAAGTTTGTTGTGAACTGGTATTTTGAGTAAGCCCGTAAAATCAAAATGAATCGTCTCTCCGAAAGAGAAAGAATATCGCTACTTATGATGAGAGGTTGGGGTAACGTGCAGAGAACTATGAGAGAAGTAGTGGGTGTGTTTAATCAAGCATTCAGAGTTAATAGAACTTCCATTGCCATGTCGACTGTTCAAAATACTGTTAGAAGATTTAATCTTCATGGTCATGTCAAAGATTTACCTAGAGTAGGCAGGCCAAGTACAGCAACGAATGAAGAAAAATCACTCGACGTATTGTTATCATTCACTGAAAATCCACATCTTTCTATCCGCAGACAGCTCAAGAGCATGAAATAGGTAAATCGTCAGTACACAATATTCTAAAATTAGCAAGTTTTCATCCATTTAAAGTAAATTTGGTTCACAAGTTAAACGAGGATGATTTCGATCGTCGTGTTGAGTTTTCTGAAGACATGATGGATCGCATAGTTGAAGATCCCAATTTCCCATCAAGGATAGCATTTTCAGATGAAGCAACTTTCCAACTTGATGGTACATTAAACAGACATAATTGTAGATATTGAGCGGCTGTAAATCCTCACTGGTTGCGACAAGATAAATCCCAGTATCCGGAAAAACTAAATGCTTGGGCCGGAATACTAAACAATAAAACTATTGGACCATTCTTTATTGATAGCAATTTAAATGCTCAAAATTATGAAGTTTTGCTTCGAAATTCGATGGTTCCTGCGATTAGAGAAATGACTGCAGACAACTTTGATGAGACGTGGTTTCAGCAGGACGGAACAACTGCCCACTACGGACTAAACGTTCGCACATACTTAAACGGGACCTTTGTTGATCGATAGATAGGGCGAAGAGGCACAATTGAATGGCCAGCTAGATCACCCGATTTGACGCCGCTAGATTATTTTTATTAAAGTTATCTGAAAGATCGTGTGTACCAAACAAAACTCGTAAATTTAGATGACCTTCGGCGGAGAATCGAAGATGTATCTGCTCTTATTCCCGCTCAAATTATCGAGAATGCCATTCGTGATTTCTACCATCGATTGGCTTACTGTCAGGAAGTAAACGGAGGATAATTTGAACATTTAAAGCAGATCGTTGTAATGACAGTAAGCAAATGAGAGAGGCGAGGGGACTCTCGTAAAACAAGCACCCCGATCGTGAGAGGCAAGGGAACTCACGTAAAACAAGCACCCCTATCGTGAGAGGCAAGGGGACTCACGTAAAACAAGCACCCCAAAAGGAACAGATATTACTACGTCCACGCCGTTGTTCCTGGGTGACGCTGAATATAATAATAAAATTGGTGTCAAAAGTACGGGTTTCCATTTAAAAAAAAATTTGAACTCCAAATGACCTTGACATTGAGGTCGAAGATCAAATCCAAGGTCACCATCGAATTCCTCGTCGAAAGTTAGTCCTAGAACGACCTTGAGCTTCATCGCAAAAATCCAAGTCTGAGTAGTAGAACGTGGCATCGACCCATACCTTGATGAGGCTAAATGACCTTGAGATTAAGCTCAAGGTCATACATCACTCACGACCTGAGTGCATGTTTGGACGTAAAATTTTCCGCTCTTTCGATTAGCAGTGTCGAAAATAGGGGTTTCCATTTAAAAAAAAAAGATGACCCTCAAATGACCTTGACGTTGAGGTTGAAGGTCAAATCCAAGGTCACCATCGAATTCCTCGTCGAAAGTTAGTCCTAAAACAACTTTGAGCTTCGCAAAAGCTTTGCTACCTGGAAAGTTATTTCCTTAATTCGTTACTTTTTGGACATCCTGTATATAATATACTCGTATATTCAACAATTCTATATAAAATATATATCCAATAATTTGAATAATAGAATTATTGGACAGCTCATTTGATAATACTAACCTTTTATATTAGTGTGGAAGATTTGTATAAAAATTCCATTAGGAGCCATTTGATGAAGAATACATCTCATAAATTGCCGTGCTACACTTAACGCTCCACCGGGAAGATGCATCGATAGTTCGCATTGCCAAGGATACATAATACTTGATGAGACTCTGTTAAAAAAAACAATTTCATATAAAAATTTATAATTTTTCTATAGAAAAAATATTACTATAATAATATTAACATTGATTGTTTAGATTTGTAATGAGAGCAGACGATTAGCTTGTATTTCGTCTTCTTCTCTCCGTCTCCCATCTACTCTCGGTAAGGTACAATATTCAGTGTTAGGCGCATTGTAACAATATGTCTAACTATTGGCTCCTGTATTTCAGCTGCCGATGATTTCTGCAAAGCGGCTGAAGAATTCCGAAGATTTACGGTAGCGAAGAGAAAGGAAGAAAGAGTAAGCGAGGAATGCACACATCTGGACATGCACGCGATATGCAGTTGATATGAACTGCATTGATGGCATGTAAAGTTAAGTACAAATTAAAGGAGCATGAGTCAGTGGCTGTAAGCAGGCCAGGGAAGACTCTTTGTTTTACGCTCTGGGAGAGAACTGTATTTTTCATTTTACTGACGAAGAAAAGACTGCGTGTTATTGCCACTTGTATCCGCCCAAATTTCTCAATCATGATTCTGCACACATGAAGTCTTGCTGTGCTGAGCAATTGTACTGATAAGTAAAAGACTAAGTCGGACTTTAGACATAAAAGTCGGCGGTTGACCGTTCGCCGGAAACCTCGCCCTGTCAGCGAAAAAAGGCACAACCAACGTTGTTTTTCCATTGCAGTCTGAGTCACCAGTGATATATATGTTTATTTGAGGTTATATCACGTATTTCTCTCTCGCTTGTAACGGTCCTATCTATGAGCTAGTTTATCATTTCACTGAATCACTGCAACCCGTTAAACTCATCTATCTGTTTACATCAATGAGCATATTAAACGGCGCTACTTCACGTATTATTTGATTTTATTAGTACAAGAGTCTAATTTGATGACCATATAAGGAGCGTAACGTCACAGACTGATAGATATACGAGGTGTGTTCAAAAAATAACGAGAATTTTCGTTTTATGAAAAAAATATTTATTTATTCATCTACATTAATGTTGTCGCCTTCAAAGTAGTCCCCTTCGGATACAATACACTTATGCCAACGCTTTTTCCAATCCTCGAAACACTTTTGAAACTCGATCTTTGTAATAGCTTTTAGCTCTTTCAGCGATTCGCTTTTAATGTCATCTATGCTTGTAAAACGACGGCCTTTTAATGTTCTCTTTATTTTTGGAAATAGAAAAAAGTCACATGGAGCCATATCTGGCGAATATGGAGGCTGAGGCATCGTTACAGTTTCCTTTTTGGCCAAAAATTCACGAACAAGCAATGAAGTGTGAGCAGGCGCATTATCGTGGTGCAAAAGCCATGAATTGTTTTGCCACAAATCCGGGCGTTTTTTTCGGATTGCTTCACGCAAACGACGTTGAACTTGTAAGTAGTACTGCTTATTGATTGTTTGACCTTGTGGCAAGAATTCATAATGCACTATGCCATTAAAATCGAAGAACACAGTGAGCATAACCTTCACATTCGACCGCACTTGTCGAGCCTTTTTCGGTCTTGGCGATCCAGAATGCCTCCACTGGGACGATTGAGCCTTAGTTTCGACATCATATCCGTAAACCCATGTTTCGTCATCTGTTATAACACGTTTTAGTAGTTCTGCATCGTTATTGACTTCATTTAGCGACTCCTGAGCAACTTCCATTCGCCGCTGTTTTTGTTCGAAATTCAACAATTTTGGAACGAATTTTGCTGCCACACGTTTCATACCCAAAACATTCGAAAAAATTTGATGGCATGAGCCAACTGATATGCCAACATCATCAGCGACTTCTCTGATTGTGATTCGGCGATCATTCATAACCATTTCTTTCACTTTTTTCACGTTTTCATCGGTTGTTGATGTGCTTGGGCGTCCGGGTCGTTCGTCATCTTCAACGTTTTCGTGGCCATCTTGGAAACGCTTATACCACTCATAAATCCTTGCTTTACTCATAGCAGACTCACTATATGCCTTTGTTAACATTTGACAAACTTTACTACACTTTATTTCATTTTTTACGCAAAATTTAATACAAATTCTTTGATCCATTTTTTTTCACAAACGAAAATCGCCGAGCTCGAAAAACACGTCTAACGTTAGCGGCTGCCACTTAAAAAGTAAGCAATGAATATTGCTGAAAATTTTATCGTACTTCAGGGGCATGTGTACCAACATAATAAAAAAAAATTTTATACAAGTGGACTCTCCAAACCCGCGAAATTTAAAAATTCTCATTACTTTTTGAACACACCTCGTAGATATAATAGTTTTTTTCTTTTAATAAAATATGATAATTAGACGTAATGTTGATGTAACAAAGTATTTCTTATATAGATTTTAGTACATAGATTTAGATTATAATAATACGAATTACGGTCAATTATTAAATAATAATGAATTTTAATATACAAAGTTAATTTGTTTATTACACTATAAATATTAATTATTAGAAAAATGTGAATACACCATATTCAAAATGAATATCTAAAGAACATGAGCAAGAATTGGTTTCATTAATAACAGTTTAATAATAACTGTTATTAATAAATAAATCATTAATAATTTGTTTAAACATTAAGTTGTATATAGAACGAAAGCGTTAATTTTATACATAATAATGATAGCTTTAGAATTTATAAATAATTAATCTAGTAATTACGTTATAAGATTATAGAAAATACCGTTACAAATATGAAAATTTGTCATAATTCAAACGTCATTAATTAATTTGAATATCTCTTTTTAGAAATTACTTCTAAAATTAATAAACTATAAAGTTATGTAAAAATTTAATATTGTTCTATTGTAAATATTGTAATATTACATTAATTAACTTTATTAGTTAATAACTTTTGACGATACTATTTGTGATAATTATAAATTACACAAAATCGACCAATAACTAATTTTGTAAAGTTTACATGTGTTGAAACTTTAATATTGATGTTTATTTATTTGTAAATTAAGACAATTCATATCTCAAAATTCGCGAAAGTTTCTCGAAGATTTGAAAGCTTCTCAAAGAGAACTCTCCTTCGAAAATAGGCGGGAAAATCTGTGTCAAAATTCGCCCATCATTGCACAGACTGGTATTCACTCCTAGTCTTACAAAGTGAGCGCATGAGCTTGATTAAACTTGGCTAATACCCTAAGTTCTTTCTTTCATTGTGATTAACTGAGCAAGATCTTTCCTTTCCTTTAATTCGTGCTCAACTTATAGAACATGTCGCGTTATAAGAAACTTGGGCTGAATTATATCATTTATAGGGAAGACTTTAGCTCTGTTTATGGGACAATTCGCACTATAAGAAACTAGGGCATAGTCTGACTTTCCGTAGAAATTTACTTATTATTTACATATACTTGATTTATCGATTTTAACAACTGCTTATATTGTATGAATAACATTAACGGGTAGTTAAACCTCGAAATAATAGACAATAGGAAACCCCCGAAATACGTTAATTTCTTTTATCATTTTCTACTAGAATATTAATTTTAAAATTTTTTTATCATTTTTTTTAATTTTGTAAGGTAAATATAGACTTAATAATACAGTTTTTCCGTTATATAACGTAGGAGTTTCGACCCCTGGGAACCAAATTGATGTGTGTCTAATAGTTTTTTTATTAGTATCTTGTTTTTTTTTGTTTCATAAAAAAATATTCATTACAACTAAAGATATTGCTATGGAATATCTTTTATGGAATATCTACCACCTCGAATTATTATAAACCATAAGTTTAAAAGTTTATACATTTAGTATTGTTCGCTTAATATTTCTGGTGAATCAACAATGATTTAGAACATTTTTTAAATCGCATTTTCTCACGCTCGCATTTTTGGTACAACGCTCGATACATATGTCACTCACACTAGTAGAAAAATGAGGCAAATAGTCTTTTATTGTTTTTCAAGGAAACCTGTGGAAATTCGAGATAAACATCTGTATACTCACCAGTCATCGTTGGACGCTAATTTTATTTCAGGCTACATTCGGAGATGCGGTCATAAATCGTTCCTATGCGCGCTCGATGTGTTTTCGAACGTACGTCATGAGTTTGAGTATCGGTAATTCAAAGGAGGTTACACATAAGTTTAAGAAAACAAATTATCAGATATTGCTATCTAGCATCTTATCGTTCGCATGTGATTTGTTCCGACTTTATTATCGTGAATTTTACAATTCATGAGTTTCTGAATGTAAATGTTAAATGTTTCTTTATTTTTATAGAATCAATTCCAATAAAATATTACCAATAATGAATTAAAGTAAATATACACTCGGCAACAAAATTATCGCAACAAAGATTTTTCATCGAAAAATTGCCATTTTTCAAATGCTTGTAACTCGGTCAATTTTTATCGTATTGAGATCATTTTTTTTTGTTTTGTAGAAAATTATGTGTACTTTGAGAAACAAATGATATCCACCGTCTGCAAGATAATGTCACATTGCTATGTCTTAATCAGGCATACCAACTTTTTTTTCTTAAAAAATTCAATAGTTTGCACGTATGCCTGGATTACCAAAATTTTTTTTTCGAAAAACTACAGATTTCCTTTCAAAGTTTACTTTTCAACGAGTATTTTAAATCAAAATTCGACACTCCACGATTTTTTTCGATGTTTTAATCAACCTTACCGACAAATCAATTAAAAAAAATTAAATAACAGTTTAAGGTGGCATACTGGCCAAGAGTTAAGGCAAAAAATCATTCAACATTAATTTTACTATACAGCGTCCACAACAATTAACCATTACCGTCGCAATCGAAATGCCTCGGCTTACTGAAATCGAATCTGCTCAAATTGTTGCCCTGCTAGAAGCGGGATTGAGTCAAAGCGAAATACCCAGAAGAATGGGGATTCATCGTTCAACGGTGTCACGCGTTCTTAGTCGGTATGAAGAAACAGGTTCTTATCGCCGGAGACCTGGTCAAGGTCGACATAGGATTACTACAAATCGAGAGGATCGCAACATTGTTAATGAAGCTCTGCG